GTGGGGGACCAGCTCTGCCAGACACTAAAACCTATCATGAAGTCTCAACAGTTAAGGCACTGGCACATGAACAGACACAAATTCATATGGGGATTTAGTGCACAGAAATAAGGCATCCTAAGCCAAGTAGGAAAGAGAAACAGTCAATTGCTGGTGTCGGGACAACTGGATGGCTCTTTAGAAAAAAAGAAAAGTTGGATTCACACCTCATATCGAATGCCAGAAAAAATTCCAAAAGGATCAATGGTTTAAATGTAAAAATAAATCCATAAAATACTAGAAGAAAACACAAGAAATTTTCCTTACAAGTACGGAGTGGATAAGGGCTTTAAACTAGTCAAAATCCAGAATCCATAAGGATAGAGCAATACATTCAGTCAAAAACTTCTGTGTGGGAACACCACTATAGGTAAAATCAAAAGGCAAATGACAAAGTGGGGAAACATCCGAGCAACTCCTAACACATATAAAAGCTAAATTCTCCTAATTTATAAACCCTTCTAGAATTAATAAATGTTCAAAAATCTGAGAGAAAAAATGACCAAAGGATAGAGACAGACGTTCACAGAAAGGGAAAAAAGATGCCTGACCTTAGTCATAATAAAGGAAATACAAATTGAAACTACAACCAGTATCTATATTTTACCCATCAGACTGGCAAAAGTCTAAAACTTTGCTCTCCCACCCTGTTGGTGAGGCTACAGCAATGGTGGGAATTATACATCAGTTAAAACCCTGATGTAGGGTGAAACTATGAATTACAAATCCAAATACCTTCTGACCAAGCAGCTTATCACACAGATATACTTGACACACGTGTAAAATGATATATGTAGAAATTTAATTAAAAGTGCAAAAATAGGGGCGCCTGGGTGGTTCAGTTAGTTGAGCATCTGACTTCGGCTCAGGTCATGATCTCGACGTTTGTGGGTTCGAGCCCTGTGTAGGGCTCTGTGCTGACAGCTCAGAACCTGGAACCTGCTTCATATTCTGTGTTTCCCTCTCTCTCTCTGCCACTTCCCCGTTTGCACTCTGTCTCTCTACCTCTCTAAAATAAATAATAAACACAAGAAAATTTAAAGATACATAGATAAAAGAAGAAAAATAGGCCTCTTAATTTCTTCAGTAAGGGCTGGCTACATAATTTATGAAAGAAATGCGCACTGAAATTCTATGCAGCTGTTAAAAAAAGGAAAAAGGAAGCTCTATACGAACGGAATGATCTCCATTTTATACTGTTTACAACGCAAGGTGCAAAAAGTGTTTATAGTATGCTACCTTTTGTGTACAAAAGAAAGGATTTGAGATTCTGTATTTTGCTTGTATATGCAAAAAGAAATGCCACAAAGAAATTAGGAACAATGGTTATGGGTGGCAGGGATTGAAAGAAACTGGGCGGATAGGGAGCCAAGAGGAGAAAAATGGTTCATTACAGACATTTTTATTCATTCATTGATTGATTTTTAAGCCATGTGACTGTATTTCCTACGCAGAAATAAACTTGATAAATAAGTATAAAACTCTTAGTGTGGTAAGTACTAGGACAGAAAGGTGCGTGGCACTCTGAGAGCCAGAGTGGGGACCCTGAACCATCTCTCTGAAGAGGTGGCATTTGAGCTTGGATCCCAAGGCTCAGGAGTAACTAACTAGGTGAAGAGCCATGTGGCCAGAGGAGAAACTAGCATACAGAGGGGACAAGTGCATGCGCCACTTTGTGACCAAGAAGCTGCAGCCTACACCCCAGCCTGGAGCTAACTTGGCCTCTGGAACCATTAGACTTTCTGTGTCAGAAATCATTTGCTGGTCTTCCTCCTCAGCAATCTGGGAATCCTGGGACATAAGAGGTGGTGAAGGCCATTCCTTCTCTCTCTGTCTCTCTCTCTCTGTCTCACACACACACACACACACACACACACACACACACACACCACTGCAGCCATCGGCTCCCTGCCTCCAGATCAGGAGAAAAGTAAGTCCCAGCCATCTCCATGTGCTGCTGCAGGATGCAGGCCCTGTCTCAGTGAAGCCTGCCTCAACTTTCTGAAGCAGCTTCTCTTTCCATTTCATGGTTACCTGGCCCAGGACCCTGCTATGGATGGAAGGGGATGGCAGGTAGGCAGCAAGGGACAGGCAGTCTCTACAGCCAGCAGAACAGAAGTGGAACTGAATCGGGCCCTAAGGCAGCAGCTCAGTCCTAGCACCCAGCCCCCAGGATCCTTTCTGTCCCTGCTTGCGCTTACTCCCAGAAACCGGTCATCATCCCTGAACCTGCCCCAGGAAGGAACAGAGGCCTTCCTTGACTACAGCAAAAGCCCACAAAGAGTTTTCTAGTCAGAACCCTGTGCCAAAACATGTGGCCATGTGGTCTGAGGGGTCCCTGTTCCCTGTATGTAGGACAGGCTGCCAAGCCCAAGCTCTCCCCGGGACCCTAGGCTGCAAAATCTCAGTTAAAATCCCTGAGATACTATGAGACCTGAGGGAAAAGTCCAAAGCTCATTTGGCTGAGAAAGGTCCTCAACGCCTAGGAGATTTTAGGGAAAACTGAAACTGGAGGAGAGCAGCACAGAATGAAGGGCTTGTTTGGGGCAAATTCATAGTATATGAGATGGCTCTTTCCCAGGTGCCTGCACTGAGAAGCCAAACAGGGTGATGAAGGGCTCAGCACTCCCACTGGTGCAGGCCAATGAGCAGAAAGCCATGGTCCACGTGGCTTATCTAGGAATATTTAGCTCATCTCCACAGCCCTCGCCTGCACAATCAGAAGCTGTTCCCTCTCCAGTGATGCTCCAAATAGCTGAAGATATGCCAGCTCAAGCCTTGGGTGTAGAAAGACAGGTGGACAAGCCAAAAGAATGCTGGACAGGGAAGAGAAGGTGTGGGTTCAAGCACGGCTCCTTTACTCCCAGCCCCTGAAACAATCACATCATCCCTGAGTCCTGCCACTGTACTCAGGGTGCTGTGACCAATAAGCTGCCTGTGCTGGGTAGGTGCGGGAATGGGGAGAAGGAAGATGCTCTGCATCCCAACCCTCTGGAGAAAGCTGCATTTGTGTCAGGAGTATCCCTATTGCCAAGGAGACATGAGTTCTTGGCAGGCACGGCAAGTGTAGCCAGGGGCAACCCCCATGTCACCAGCCCATCAAGCAGCCCAACTTGCTCAGACTCAAGACCATATGCAGGATTATTGCAAACCCTTCATGGACTCCAGTAGAGCCACCAAGGAGGCAAGCCAGGCTGGGAAAATCTACTGCTGGGCTATGAAAGCCTCTCTCCCACTTTAAAAAGCCCAGATTTTCAACCACTTGAGTCCCACCCCTGCCACTTTCTGCTGGGGTGGCAGGGGTGGGGTAAAGGTAGAAGAGTCATCTGAGGCACCCCTGCAGTTGGGAACCATGATAGCAAGCTGTGCATCTGAAATTCTCACCAGAACTTTGATGCCTGGGTACTTTTGGCCACTCACCGAAACATCTAGCTCTTGCCAAGCTCTGTGCTCCCCCCAGTGGTCTGTCCCATGGGGTCCACATGCACATTTGGGGGCAGAGACCTGCCCGCCAGCTAAGCTCCCCAACTCCCAGCACAGAGGCTTTCACTAACCTTTCCAGGTTAGTGCCATGGCCTGGGCAAGCAGAGGAGGCCAGGTAGGGGTCAACTGGGAGCAAAGTCTTGGCCAGGATAGTGCCCGGTAAGACCCAGAAGGCCCTTCTGCCCCTCGACTAAAAGGGCAGTGGGTGCTTGGCCAACCCTTCCCATTAGATCAGTGGCTTATCTCTGCCCCCATGAGAGGTTGGCTGCACATTTCTGCCACCCCTCGCCCACAGCATCAGCCTGCCTTGCATGGGAAAGCCTGTGCTGCTCGCAAGATGGAAAACTCAGGGGTTAATTACATTAATTAAGTATTCTCCTACTTGCTTGTTTATAGATCACCAACTGAGAAAAAAACTAAACAGACTCTGAGAAAATTAGAACTAAGAGCTGCCTGTCAGTTATATACCAATCAATCAGAAATGACCCATTGCTGGCATTTTCCATGAGGAACTATGATTCACAGAATTCTGATTTGCATACAACTCCCCAGAAATGGAACTTAGATATAAAAAAAGGCACATACCTGCACACCCCTCATCCCTGCTTCCCCTACCACCATCCACACTCTGAATGTTACATGTATGGCCTGGGCAACTGCATCTAGCAGCCTCTACCGCACCCATGCTCCACCCCACCCCATCCTGTACTTCCAGGGTACCGAGGGGGAATGGAGAAGGGCAGGGCCTGTGCCCTGGCAGATAATACCAGGTCCCCAGGCTTCAGTTTACCACACACTTGAGCTAAAAATTTCCACATAAAACGCTTTTTGTGGGCCTGCCAGAATCAGATGGGGAAAGAATGAGTCTCAGCAGCCCGGATGGGGCGTCAGCAGCAGCATCCCTGGGGCTTCAGAGTCTCTCTGGCAAGAACCAGGTCCGAGGCAAGGCCAGGAAGGAGCTGCCATCCGAGCCAGAGTGAGGCCTTCCCTTCCAGAGGGCAGGGGCTGCCAGGCCAGGCAGACGGCATGCTCCAGAGAGAGGCTTTGGAACTCATAGTGACTCTTTCCCAAGAAAGTTAACTTGCCTTATGCTCCAGCAAGGCCAAATTTGGGGAACCTGAAGCTGAAAGATTTGATCCAGCATCACTGTCCTTGTCATAGCTGCCACATTTAGAGCCTCCCATGTGCAAGGTGCCTCATGCATATTCTCTCAGTTAATTCTCGCAACCACAAAAGGTTTCTAGATAAGGAAACTAAGGCTCAAAAACTTGCCCAAAGTTACCCAGTTAGCAAGTGGGAGGGGAAGGATGTACATCAGAGGGACTCAGACTCTGGGCTCCTTCCTCCAACTGGCCCGGCAAGTGCCAAAGCCTGGAGCTGGATCCCCAGAGTGGATTCTCTAGAGCTCCATCCCTACCTAGCCCACCCCCAGCACTGCTCAAGGACTGGCTCTCAAGGCCAGGCAGTCTCTTTCTTACATGACCGAAGGGGTCCAGGTGGTTGTTTGTGAGTTTCAGCTTCTGGAAAGAGACTAGCTGCCGCATCCAGTGGGCCCCGGTGGCAGGAGAATCGGGGTGGACATAGAGCCTTCCTGGCATGGCGGGCTCAGCCTTCCCGGCCACCATCCTGCCAACAGAACAGATGATTACAGCAGTTGATTACTCTGGGGTCTGGAAAAGCCCAGATTCCCTGTCCCCTGTTAGAGCAAATCCCCATAGACTTGAGGGGGAAAGAAATCACTGCTAGTCTTATACTCTCAATTTCGGACTTTGTGAGTAGGAGTGTGGGTCAAAGGAGAGAGTGCTGAGGAGGAGGAGCAATTATGAACCTCTTTTATTTTACTGCAGTAGAAAGAGAAAGGGAGGGTACAGACAAATGTGATTATTTACTTCAAAGAATGGGGCTAATCACAAATATATTGTGGGGCGATTTAGGCACCTCTGTGTATGTATTACAGTTGCAACTTTAAAATGTTATAAATTATATTATTTGGAGGGAGCTTCTCAGAAGACCTAGACAACTTTCAAACTGCTTGTCCCCAAAAGAGTGCTCACCCCCAAGGAAATTAATTGGTAAACCTCCCCTCAGCCAGAGCTTGCTCTGAATGATAATCCAACCCAAAGAGAGAAGAAATAGAAACATGGCCCTTGGCAAGACCTGGTCACCGAATCCAGCCTCCTCAGCCAGGTCTCTGCTGGCCCCACTACCAGCCTACGGTGAAGCCCACATCCTGGCTAGCTACTAATTCAGTCAATCCCTCTTTCTCCTTGAGCGTTGTCCTGGGCTCTGGGGGCAGACAGGGTACTAAGAAGGTGACCTTAGGAAAAGTAGCCTAGTGTTTACTTACCCAGCCCCTGTTTTGCCTTACAGCCCACTTGTTCCCCCCAGCCTCTTGCCAGAGGGTCCCATCATCCAACCATCAGGTAGCTGCCACTCACCCTGGATCGACAGCTTAAAGGGAGGGCTCATAGCCAGACAATGAGGAACTAAGTGGAAGAGCAGCAGAGAGATGTCATTGGATGTCTAACCATCCAATATCAAAGTCCCTCAAGCAAACAGCTCCCATCCTCCTCCCCAGTGCAGCACTACCAGAGCCTAAATTCATCCAGTGTTCGTGTTCATCTGTCATCCCACAGCGTAGTCACCAATCTTGTTTGCCCATGGCTGTAGGGAGAGAACAGCCTCGAAATCCACTAAACACTCAAACCCTGCAGCTCACTTTCAGCTGTAGCGGGTGTGCAGACATTGGCCGACCCTGCAGCCTCTGCAGGCTCAGCTCCCAAGACTGCGGATCTGGGCAATCATATGAACTAACTGGTGAGTCCCTGGACCAAACATCAGGTGCAGATGGGTGTGGTGAGTGGACAGAGCAGTTCAGAGAAGGCAGGTGATGTGAGGGTCCCAGGTTCTTACCATTTGTTGTCACAGAACTTGTAGCGGTGGTCATCCGCAGGGACGATGTCAATCAGCAGGATGTACTTGGTCTTAGGGTTCATGCCTGTGACTTTTACCTTGTAGCTGGGAAACATCCTCCTAGGGGAAGCCAAGGTGTGAGGCAGAGGCATAGACAGAGCATCAAGAGAGATGCCACCCAGGGGGGAGGGAACAGAAGGCCTTAAGAGACACCGGCCCTGATCAGAACTGTGTGACCTTGCCTCAGCCTCCCCCTACACAAGGGAAAGTTTGCACTAGCCGTTCTCTCTGGGTCCAGATAGCTTCATCTGGTCTGCATGTCTAGAAAGAGGGTTTACATGGCTTCCCCAATGCAATTCCCTCTCCCCAACAATCCCCTAACATTTAGGGCAACTGGTTGTAAGCAGCTAAAGCATAGAAAGTTCCAGGATCATGAGAGAGGATGTCAACACCAACCTGGCTGCTTAATTTCCCTCCTGCCCTTTGCCAGTCCCTACACAGCTAAAGTTCTGGGCTGCCATTACAGGGGGTCAGAGCAAAAGACTTCAAAGCCCTGTCGGTTGCTTCTGTAATCAATGGGGTATCTCCTCTGGGCCTTGTCTCTGTGGAAACCCTCAGGCCTGGAACCAACTCACAGAAAAACAAGAAAGTGTTGCTAGGTCTTTGGATTCTTTTGGTGTGTTTAGCAGAGGTGTTTAGCCATATGAAGACCTTGCCTGGGCTTGTGTATACTAACTGGGTACCAGGTGAAGTCAGTTCAGGAGCCTCATGGAGAAAAGCATGGATTCTAGAACCACTCTGCCATGGTCCACCAGCCTGGCCCACCCCTGACAAGTTTTGAGGCATTAGGCAACTTGCTTGGATCTCATTCTCTGTGCCTTGGTTTCCTTATCTCTAAAATGGGGATATTACTACCTATCTCATAGGTTGGTCTGTGGATTAACTGAGTCCATTTGCGACTATTACCACTGACTCCCACTGCATTCCTCCCTCCTCAAACCAGTGGATGACTTACCTCTGTGAAAAAGGACTCACCAAAAAACCAGGAAGTTTTCCAGTTTCTACAGCTCATGCTAAGACTATCCAGGACCCTGAGGCTCAGTGAATATTCTAGAGACAGGCTTCCCCAGACCCCTCAACACACACACAGGTACAATAGCATATACACATACCTGCAGGGGCAGAGTTCTGCCCCTTAGTCATCGAGTCCCTGACACTGGACTTCTCCAGAGGGAGCAGACAGAACTTTACCACAATCCTCTTCAGACACCCCCACCCCCTCCTAGCTGATCTCCCACAAAGATGTTTCCCCAAGAGAGAGGCAGGATCCAAACCTAACTGAAGACAGTAAGGACATCAGGAACCAAATCCCCTGAGTTGGGAAAGTGCCCAACCAGTCCACTGAAGGAAAGCCTCACTAAGAGACCATAAGGGGAACCTCAAGAGAAGCTGTCCTAGACACCTCAGACCCCCGTTTTGTCAACATGGGTACCAGTTTACCAGGGTTTCCAGAAGGGATCAAGGCCTTTACAAGCAGGCAGACCCTACAGCAAGCCCAGGCCAGGACCCTGAGGTGGAAGGTTCAGTTCTACCCCTGGCCCAGCCCCAGCCTGTTCACCCTCTCTCTTGCAGGAGGCAAGGCCCGGGAGAGCACTGCAATGGGCCAGGGATGTGGGAGGTATGTGGCCATGTGTACGCTCAAGGGCACGTACTTGAGTACACGGTGGAGTGCGCATGTGTGCATGTGTGCGTGCCTGGAGGGAGGAGGGAAGTTCTAGCTGCAAGTCTAGGGACTTATAAACCGTGTGGAAGAATTTGTCTCAGATGTCAATTGAAAGCATTTTCAAATGTCCACCCCACCCCCTCTCCAGGAATGGGGGAAGTGAGAGGGCTCAGGAACCCAATCCTGCCTGCTGCTTACCAGCCCCTGCCCGGCCTGGGGGCACAGCTGGAGCCTGCACCACCTTCTTTCCTGGCCCAGCCTCTCCCCTGATAGGCCTAAAGCTGAAGCAGGGAAGGCATCAGCTGCCTCACTTCCCCTGCTCCCCGGGGAAAGGCCAAGAATCCTGTCCCCCTCCAGGTCACCATTTTGTAACTGCTACAGGAACTGCCACAAAATGGGGCAGCCCTGGTTGCCCTTGGGGCTGACCTGGCACCAGTGCCCTGCGCTTAGTCTGTTTCTCCTGTAATCACTCCAGGTGGCAACAGCAGAAGGCAGACATGGCTTCCCCCCAGGCCAGTATCCACAAAGGGGTCCAGGAAAAAATGTCCCGCTGCCACTTTGACAGTCTTCATAACCTAGGCTGAGAGGGGGATGAAGACCCTGGCCTTCCCCTTCTCCTACTCCTTACTACACTTCATCTCAGCAGCTCAGGAAGCCAGGCTAAGATCCACTAAATGCTTTTTAGAAGGCCTGTAAGTAGCCTGTGCTCAGCTCCCCAAGGCACGGAGCTGGTGTCCTAGGATTTGGTTTCACCCAGAAGCTGACTAAAGACTGGATTCCTGACCGAAAACACCTTCAGGGAGGTTTTGCCAAGAGTTGGGGCAGGGAAGGAAGGTATCTCCTAGCTTCTGCCTCCCCTGCCTACCAATCCCCCCCTTCCTAGGGCAGCTGCCCTTGGATGCAGGGGCGGGGGATGGGATATCTGGTCTGAAAGGGGACGCTGCTCCAGGCTGAACTACTCAGGCTCAGTGAACTCCACTGCTTTCATGAGAACCTGTATCGGCTTTTCTGTCAGGGTCCAGTTTGGTGACTGCTTCTGAGAACACAGGCCCTGGGGACCCTAGGCACTATCACTGCCCCACCTAGGGGGCTCCAGTGGGATGAAGGGCACACCCTGTGGGGAAAAGGCTGAGTGCCAAGGGGAAGTGTATGTTCCACCCACCCCAGAAGCCTCCTGCCACAGCTGAAGGCATCTGCCCTTGCCCTAAAGTTGAAGCCCCAGGCGCAGCATGGGACCATTCATCAGGTGGGCATGACTCCTGCCACAGAGGCCAGGCTGGGTCTGGGAGCTGTGCCATCCTCTCTGGTGACTCTACACTATAAAGACCCTCTCTACTGAAACAGATGAAAAGGATGGGGTGAGATCAAGTTGTTTCTTTGGCTTAGGACGTAAAATGTACCTGAAAACCAACATCAATGGGGGAAATGAACACCTGGGGGAGCGGGCAGGAAAGGAGGGAAGGACTCTGAGCCGCCAGTGTCCCACTCTGCCCCGCCGCCAGCGCTGGCCTGGCCCGAATCCCTGGCTCGCCCGCCCCGGACACCTCGCGGCCCCCAAGCCCCGCGCGGTCGAGCCTGCGCCCCGCGAGCCTCCGGTCCGCGCGCCTGACGCCCCCTCGGGGCTCCTGGACCCCCAGACAGAGGGGCGCTCCCGGCACACGCGGAAACGGCTCCGCCGGGGAATAAACAAGCCGCCCGCCCCGCCGGCCCGGGAGGAGATGAAAGCCGGGGGTTTCTCCTCTGATCACGAAACAGGCTCTGAAAGGATGCGGGCTGGAGCCTTTATCTACTTCATACTCGGAAATGGTTTTAGAATGAACTGCTAAGATAAGCTTCCTTGGACGTTTCTTCGTGTGGGAGGCCTGCGGGGCACGGGGCAAGGATTCGGGACCTTGTGATTTTGGCAACAACCCCTCAAATGCTCGCTGGTTGCTGAGTGGAGACTCGCAAGTTCAGCTGGTCTCAGAGAGCGGCGGGGGCTCCCGGCTCTCCGGCCAAAGCGATCGCCAAATTCCTGGCCCGACCTACTAGTCTCCCACCAATCCCGAATGGGGGTGCAGGGAGTCAGCAGGACGTAGGAAACCAGCCAGATTCTCTCCACTTGGCCGGACCCCCAAGTCCCCAACCCGGTTGCAGCCTGACTTTCTGTGAGGGCCTGGAAACCCCAGGAGCAGCTAGATGTGCCTTCCCTTAAACTAGACACAAAACCAAATAGAAGGGGCGAGAAGTCTGGAGAGGGGCTTCGAGGGGGGACAGGAATGGTGGGGAATGGGAGGGCACACAAGAGGATTCTGCTGTGTTTCTTTATCTGGGTGGTGATTTGTACTAGTGTATTCATTTTGTGGAAGTGTATAGAGCTGTACAATTAAGATTTGCTCACTTATGCAGGCAAGTTCCACTTCAACAAAATTGACATTGAAAATTATACATGTATATATCATATGTGTGTGTCTATACACACATGTATATACATACACCAGCCGTGGATCCCAGAGTCGGAAAGAAACCGGCTGCAGGCAAAGGACAGGGGTCCCCAGAAAACCCCACCATTCTTTCTATCCCTAGTGTCTGGGACTCTTGAGAGGGATTTCTGGGTATGTTGGGAAGAGGCTAAGGCCCGTCCACCAAGGCTGAGTTTGCTGGAGGGGTGGGGGCTGCATTGCTGGTGCTGCCTGTACGGAGACTAAACCTTCTAGAGCCAAATGATTTCTGAGAGCAATGGCAAAGCTTTGTAATTTAGTCCCAATTTTCTCTCTCTCTCTAACACGCACACAATTTTCTAATTCACTCAAAGCATTTTTAAGAAATATTTTCCCTGAGGTCGGGGGAGGGGGGCGGGTTGCAAGAGTGAGGGTATATGGAATGGATGCTGTTTTGGAAGATCAGTTGCTTCTCAGATTTTTTTAAAGACACTTCCTTCTGATAGACTTTTGCTTTCAGAAAATACTTTAGAAAGAGATCAAAGGACTCTCTCCCCAACCCACTTTCCCAGTGTCTTCAACCCTTACTTGTCTTATCACCCACGCCACTGGGCTCTGACGCTCTGTATACAGAGCAAGGGCAATTGGCTTTGAAGCCCCGGATTAAGCCGGGCCAAATCCTTGCCTCAGAATAACAAACAATACAGGTTCAACAGGAGTTCTCATCGGTAGCTCATTTTTCAAACGCAAATTCACTGTCACTAACACAAGCAACATTGAACTCAACAGGCTATGAAGGCTGATAGTGGAGATTTATCTGGTGGCAAAACCATGACCTAGGAGTGGAGCAGTCAAATGGTTAGGAAATTTTCATTTTTGGGAGGTTTATATTTAAATTTTTGTGGAGCTCACTTTTATCTATGTTTGGGAGAAAATGCAGTTTCTCACATCTTTCAAGCTTGGCAGGGATGTGAAGGAGGTAGACAGAGGAGGGGTCTGGTCTCTGCAGTAAACAGCCTTCTGGGTGCAGAGGCCCCTGAAAGGGACAGAAACTGGCTGGGAGGATTCTGGCCCCGTTTTACACCTGACATCAGGGGTTACTGAGCATTCAGAAATTGATGTCTCCCAATGTGATTGGCATTTTAATCCCCAGATCAAATGGTTTGAGAATCTGAAGTCACTATCCAATGAAGGGGACTATCCTCTACTTTGGCCTTCAGACCTTCATACCTTCAAGAGCTTATAGGCAAGAGGCTTGTGACTCAAAGACTCAAACTAGCTTGAGAAACATTGTTCCCCTTGTTTGGGACCTGCCTCTCCCTCAGCCAGATAGCAAGTATCATGCCTCTAACCAACCAGGGGGGTCTCTAGGGCAGAGCAACAACCCCATATTGGAGGGCCCTGTATCTAAGGGGAATTTCTCAAAGTTGGGTTTTTTTTTCTGGGGGTAGAGTATCATCTGCTTGGCTTGTGTGGACCTGGCAGCTGCTTAATTTTGCTTCTATCTATAAGAGCCAAGTGCCTTCCCTTCTCTGGGGTCAGCCTTATGTTCCCTCAGTTTACCAGCAGTCTAGGAATCTGCGATTCCAGGTTCAGGACAAGGGTTCAGGCCGTCTGCTGAGAAATGCAGGTGTTCCAGGAAGGGTGCCGGTAGAGACACAAAGAAGAGAACTGGGACTCCACAGGATGTTGAAGAACCACAAACCCAAGCAAAGCAAGCTGCCTCCTGTGGAAGGGAGGCGGTGAAGGGGGAGGGGGCCACTGGGATCAGAACTGAGAATGTGGTCTCCAAAGTTAGTGAGCAGCAACGCAGGAGGAAAGAGGGTCTGTGAGAACCATGGAGAGGGGCGACGAGGCTAGTGACTTTCTTAAGGACTAGGCCTGGTGCAAGAATAACTTTCTGCCAGAGAAATGAAAGGCCAAGACTGTGATGAAACCATAAGTGGTCAACCTCATCACAGCCATTTAAAAATTATTGTCATCATTCCCTGAGGCGCATCTCTAAGTCTCCACTAGGATCAGGCACAGACATCCGCCTGAAGCTGGTCACCTCTGGAGGGGTGTGTGTGTGTGTGTGTGTGTGTGTGTGTGTGTTGGGGGAGGGAGGGAGGGAGGAGGACCCATACTGATGCAGGAAACCCCACTGAGGAGAATCACAAATGTCTTTTGTTTAAAACGGCAGAGGCCAGGCAAACCCAAAGAACATGCAGACCATTTATTTTTGAAAGACAAGAATATTTCTGCTGCCTAAAAAGGGAAATTCTGGATCTTTCTCTTTCTTCTTTCCATCCCTCCACCCCAGCAGTTTCAATAAATAAATTCCCTCTCTTCATACCTATAATCCAGTCAACAATTTACCATACACAGCTCACGTGACCCCCATTTGAGTCTCACAGTAACTAAGAAAAGAAGAATGGCAGGTAAGTCTACAGTCACCAGCTCTGTTTACCCCAGCACCATTGAGCCACGGGAAGTGTAGAAACCTGCCCAAGGGCACTCAGCTAGGAAGAGGCAAGGCTTGAGGGCCACTGTCTTCAGGCCTATTCCAAGTGGCACCCTCTACCAGGTTTCCCTAATGCATCCTCCTTCCCCAGCCCCCAAATGCAGCAAATTCAGGCCCTGACATCCCCATGCTCCTTCCCCTTATAGAGGCTCCAGGTGGCCTTGCCACCTACCAGGGAGCCTGACCAAGTGCCCAGAACTTACCCCCAGCAAAACAAAGGAAACCTCGCAAGGTCTGCCAGTGAGCAGACAAGAAGGACCACAGCACCCCTTCACTACACACTGCAAAAGCTACCAGCTTTTTGCTTCTTTTCAACAGCTCACCGTTCTCTAAGCAGTTCAGCAGAGTTCTCTAAGAAGAAGAAAACTGCTGAGTGGGTGTCAGACATTTCTCTAATTACAATGAATTTTGGCTCATATGTATGGCATGCTCATATGTGCCAGGAGCTAGGCTAAGTGCTTTACATACAACTGTATGTATTATTTTGCAGAGGGGGATGTGGAGAGGGCAGATACCCTGAAGCACCTTGCCTGAGGGTTGCACAGATGGAAGCAGCTGAGTGGAACTGGAAGCCACTGTGGTCTGACCCCCCATCCTGGCTCTTGAGGCTTCACCACCTTATTTCTTCAAAAACCCAATTATGGGCCCACAGACATTTTTACACCTACCCTGTCCCCCAGGGACTAGAATCAAATGTGAGTAAGTGGGGAGAGGGCAGTTCCTACACCTGAACTTTCCAGCTTCTCTGTCTGCAGCAATCCCCCTACACTGATAACCGCTGGCCTTGCCATTCGCGCCCCACCTGAGACTCCTGGCCCCGCTGGCCCCAACGAATCTCTCATCTTGCCCGGTCTGCATCTCCCTCCTTTCCCCTTCTCCTCGAGACTCTCTCCCACAGACACCAGCACATTTTAAAGATGTTTCCACTTTATAAATCATCATCTCTGGCAACCACCCGAGAGTTGCTCCCCAAACAACACACACGCAGGGCCCAACGGTGCCTTCCCCTTGGCTGAGGTGGGGGGGCTGGCAATAGACGAGCAGCACCCCGAAGGATGAGAGGTTTCCTGGTTGCCACTGCCAGGAAAAGTTATGGAAGTAGGAAAACATGGTCCAGTCCCCTTCCTCCATCTGTTGAGGGTCATCTCCGGGTCCCCAATCAATGCAATCCTGAGAAACCAGGCAGGTCCCCAAAAGGAAGAGGACAAAGCAGCCCCCCTGGGGGCCAATAGTGCAGGGACTGGGACCTCCGGAGTCGCGATCCTTATTTGCATTTTATTTGCATAGCGCTACCCCTCCCATCCTTCCAAGTCTGGAGGCTCCCTGGAGGAGATGGATCCTCCGGTGAAGTTCTGCGGCCCAGTCAGAAGCCGTGGTAGGACAAGGGGCTAAGTGGCGAAAGGAACTCCGGGCGCTCCTTTGGCAGGAGCCCGAGAGGAGCTCCTGGGGGATTCCCATCGCTCCCACCAGTCATCCCCATCCCCCAAATAAATGTCCAGCGCTGACCTGCCCGCCTTGGTGATGATCATTTCGGTGCCCGCTTCGTGGAACTTCTTCCAGAGCTCCTTCTCATGCAGACCCACCTTGATGTTCTCGATGGTCTAGGGATGAGACGGAAGGGGTCGGCCTGAGCCACGGCTCCATGCGGAGCCCACAGAACGGAGAACACAGGCCCAAGGAACTGTGCAGAGTCCTGCCAGCCCCCAAAGCCCATGCCTCAAGATTTCGTTTCATAAAATTATCCTGTACCACTGGTGAATTTTTCAAAATTTAATCAGTAGCTGAAACCCACTCCTTCGGAGCTGCACCTATAGATGGTCCGCAAAGGACACATGCTGACCTTGCCAGGGTAGATGACACACTACACAAACATAAACACTCCACGTGGCGGGACACAGCCACAGGCTTGCCGACACACACAGACACGGGAGGGACAAACGCCCCTGCGGCCAGACTCGCGCACCCTCAGACTCTACGCAGACCCACGCAGGCCGAGGGTGCGCACAGACGGATTCCTTTCATTTTGATCATCAGATTGTCAGTGTGACCCTCTCAGCGACGTCCCCGCGGCGGCTCCCGCTCGCACACGACCGGGATCTGTTCTTCCCTCCCGATGCCAGGCTTTCTTTCGCCCACGCCCTCTCAGCGTCGTCGGAGCCGGACACTTGGCCCGGGCTCGCCCCGCTGCCATAAGGGTCCCCTCCCCAGCCTGTCCCCTAGTAGCCCCAAGGGAGCGAAGCAGAAGAGGGACGAAAGGCAAAGAGCGGGAGCCCTGCCCAGCGGAGCAGAACGCGCAGTCCAGGACGCAGCCAGGTCCCCCGGGAAGCGAGTCTTGTCCTCAGTGGGGCGGATTGGCAGACGCAGGCTGCCCTGCAGACAGACCGACGCCCGACCTCTGCCCGACGGCCAGCGCGGCCCTACCTGCTCGGCGGCGGCAGCGGCGGCGGCGGCGTCGGCGCCTGGGCCCGGGGGGCTGCCGAGCGCGGCTCCGCTGAGGCCCGGCGCGGCCAGCGCGGGCTCGGGGTTGTTGGCGGCGTTGGAAGCGCTGGCCTCGCCGAGCGCCGAGCCCGGGGCCCGGAAGGCCTCCTCGCTCTCCGACAGGCCCTTATCCTGCAGCATCTCCTGCGGGCACAGCACACACCGAGTCACATGCCCAGGTCCACACTCGCCAGAGGCCCAGCAGCTCGCTCCAGCCCAGCCAGGGGACTTCGGGGCCGGGCGGGAAGGTCGCCCTGGCGCACGTGGACACCGCCCCCTTCTGAGCTGGGGGAGGGAGAAAATGCGGAGGGCAGGACCGTCGCCTCCACCGTCTGGGGTCTGGACTTGGGAGGGTCTGTGTGCGGTTCAAGGTCTGCCTGCCTCTGGGTGTGGGGCTGTGTGATGAGCAGGTCTGGGGGAAGGACCGCCCTCTCGGCATTGCCCCAGCTGCACCCCCAGTCCCTCCCTCCTGCTGGGCGCCAGGGGAGCCTGAGGCCTGGGTCTCTCTTCGAAGTTTCCTAATAATTGGGGTCCAGGCTCACTCTTGGCCCAGGGCAGCCAGGACAGTGAAACCAGGAGGCAGGGCCCAGGCTCCTGGGGCTCCACACCTGCAGAGCAGGGCCTCAGGCTCCTGCTCACCCATCTGCCCTCACCCACTCCCTTAGACAGCAGTCAGGTAGAGCCTCCCTGAGCCAAAGGCTTTCACTCCTGCACATTCCCACTCCCACAGACACCCTGTGTGTCATTCACACAGGTACACACTTCACACCCAGACACAAGCACCCACACAGAGTCTTCTAGTCACTCAAGCAGCCACACTGTCCCAGGGCAGCTCTGATTTAGGCCCTGAATTCAGCCAGGGGCCCCCCAGCCTTGCCCATATATTCACATTCGCTGGCTCCCTCAGTCCAAAGGGCTCTGCTTTGGGGCAAAGGATCCAGACCCTTCCCAGCTAAGGACCAGGCCAGTTGGGTGGGTCCAGTTCACAGACACAACCTAGTCCTGCCCACCCCACCCCTCCCCCCTCTCCAGCACAGCTATCCTTCCCCAAGAGTCTAGAACTAGCCACCAGGCTGTCCAAGGCTGCAGAACCTGCTTTTCCTGCCTCCATCATGGATGCAACCCTGCATTATATCTGCTTCTTTCCACCTCCCTGCTCTTCTCCCTTCTTTTGGGTCTGGTGCGGCTTTCTATGTGCCTGGCTGCCTCTCTTGTGGAAGAGTGTTCCCCCTTCCTCCTGTCTTCTTTCTGTTCTCTCCTGGATCTCCCTGAGCATCCCAAGGCCCAGGCCTCTGGCCATCCTGCCTACTGGTTTCCCCATCCCAGGTCCTAGACATCGGCTCCCAGGGCCTCACAAAGTAAACAAGCCAAGTGCAACAGAGGGAGATAAAAAAGGGGCCTGGGCCAGTAGGGCTGGGAAAAGCCCATAAAGATAAAGCTGACAGCCCTCCCAGTCCTTGGTCCACAGGCAGCAGGAAACAAGTCTTGCCCGGCATGGCCAGCCCCAGTACCGGCCTTGGGCCACGTGCTGGTTCCAGCGGAGCCTAGGAAACTCAGAGCCCCCAGGCAAGGGGACATTGCGCGACCAGGGTAGTTGCACGCCCTGGCCCAAGACGCTGGTCCGGACTGTATCTGGGGTCAGAGGGATGGGCGCGGGCCATCGGCTGGTCACAAGCGCGGCAGACCACGGGGGCAGGAAGACGCGCCGCCTGGCGCGATGCTGTTTTGGCCACCGGGTCCTCTACGGAGCACTTGTCGCACCCGGAGCCGTGCAGGGCCGCCTTCTGGCTCATGCCCGGCCCTCTCAGTCCTGGGCACTAAGCACGTCCGCGGCCGGCATCCACTGACGCGGGTCCCACCGCTCCCACCTGGGACGAGCGCAGCGTGGTGCTCTCCTTCCACTCCGCGGGCTTCACCTCTTCCTTTTCTCTCAGCCGCGGAGACACATCTCGACATCGCGACAGCTGGCCCTCGCCCTCGATGGGGCTCCCCCCTAATTTCCTTTCCTTCCCTCTGGACTGGCCCAGACTGGCCGTCCCCTTCGTTCCCCTCGGACCCCGAGCCTCGGCGCACTGTACAGCCGCGTTCCACATCAGCCCGAGCCCGAGGGCCGCAGCCCATCGCGCTCGCCCCTCTCGCGGACCCCTTCGCGGACGCGCCGGCCGGCTCGGCGCGCTTTCGCTCCGTCCGTCGCTTTCAACCAACTCGCTTTCTAAGGAGAACAGCATTTTCCTCTTTACTCTAAGTTACTGGTGATATTTTTCTTGCACTGGGGAAATTAACATTTTGTATTATTTTAAATATTTTAATTATCTCTATTATGAGAGCAGTATTCGGGTCAGCTCGATAGCATTAAAAATATCACATAAATTATTAGAACCTTTTATTTTTAACACTGTATATTTAAAGTACTGGTTTGATTTGTTAATTCATCATTATTAAATATGTTGTTGCTCTCTGGTCTCTGCTCCATCATTCTAGGGCTTCCTGGTACATTAGTGACACAGTTACTAATATCTAGGTAATTACTAAATATAGTATTCCAGCAGGTCATGTTAATCTTTTGTTATTTTAATTTTTATTCCGTACCCCTAAAATGCTTCTGTTGCTGGCTCCTCAGTCTCTGTACTTTGTCACAGTTTCAATAACTTATTATTTACCATAACTTGTAATATCGTTGTTCTCAATATAGATGTTAGTTTTCTTCACATCCTTATAATACTTCTTGTTATTTTATCATTATTTGTTTTGTTAGAATTGTTCACAATACTCCAGGTATTCTTCATCACATCGTTACAATATCTTGTTACTTTGTCATTATTTGTAACGTTACAATCTTAATTCGCTGGTTATTTTTCATCACATCATTACTCCTTGTTACTTTGTCATAATTTGTGATATTGCTGTAGTTCTTAATACTCTGATTATTTTTCATCACATTGGTACGATACTTCTTGTTACTCTACCATTATTTATAATGTTGCTGGGACTATTAATATGTTGGTCATAAATTGTCATATTATTTCAGCAATTCTTGTTGCTGTCTTTGTTTATATTAGCATTGCTCTAAAGATTTTGGTTAATATTTATTATAATAATTCATAATAGTATCAATAATAAATTATATATAATACTCCATCAATACTACTAATATTAGTATGTCCCTTAATAGTGTTTTTAATTGTTTACCCTTTTCCTACAGTTTTATCATTTGTTACTATTTCCTATAGTATCACTATTGATTTTATTTTATTTTATTTTTACTATTGATTTTAATACAATGGTTCTTATCACATTGTTCCTATATTTGGAGTTACTTTGTCTATGATCCTTTTAAGTTTGTGATTACAATTTTCGCTTGGTTCTGAAAGTGACTATTATTTTACTGTTGTTTTAAAGTGTGAGTGCTATATTAGTTTTCCACTTAGCCCTGTTTCTTTGGTAATTGCTCACATTCAGATACTTCCTGATCATTGATAATTATTTATATACAATGCTCCTTGCTTTAATTTTGACGAGCCCGTTGCATCAAAGGCTCTGAAGTCCAGGGTTCCGATCACACATTTCTTCATCCATATCGCCTCGAGCACCCGGGCCCTCTTCCTTGGCCTTTCTTATTCTGCAAACACCAGTTTCAAGACAACCTTCCTCTAGTCGCAGCTTAACCATGTTCTTTTGGCTCTGGCGCTGTTGTTTCTTTGCCCTTGGGTCCCTAGACCCAATTCATCCTGTTACTCGGTGGAGATGAGGGCTCGCGCCCCAAACCGCTGGAAGTAGGGCCGAGGCGGCAGCCTGATCTGAAGCACATCGCGGCACCATCCTGCAGCCTTGCCTTTCCCTGAGGTTCTTACCCCCGTCCCGTTACTCGCCTCTTTCCCAGTTCACTCTCCTCAACCCTGCAGCCTAACGCTGGGCTCGGGGTGGCCCCTGTCCCGCACGCCCGGCTCACCCCCATCCCCGCCGGAACCCACACTCACCCTAACTGCGCTGCAGCATGCGGAGGCGCCTGCCGCCGAGGTTCACTGCAGGCTCGGGTCCGAGTGGCACAGGACGGCCTGGGCACCGACTCGGGACCGCTGGGTCAGTGTCCCGTTGCCCGCCGCGCCCTCGGGGCCCGACACATCCTGACTCTGGAGCGGGCCCTTGATCTCCGAGGCTGCACTTTGGGGCCTCAGCTCCCTCCTCCTTCCTCCCTCCCTCCGGGGCCGCCACCCCCCTGCGCTGACGTCGCCGCTGTCAATCAGTCTGCGCCCGCCGCCCCCCGGGGAGGGGGGCTCTAGGGTCCCTTGGCTCCGCGGCCCCAGGACCCCGAGCCCCGAGCTGGCCGCGCGCTCCCCCACCGCGTGGCTCGGTGCCCTCCCTGCGGCCCTCGGCCCGGCAGGCCTGGCTGGGACAGGGATCCCCGCATGGTTTAGATTAGAGGGGCGGGAAGAGGCAGAGCGGCCTGGCGGTGCCGCACGGCTCGCACGGAGACTCGACAACCAGGACCGAACGCCCGGAGCCGCAGCGCGGCCCGCACACTGGGGCGCGGCCCGGCCCGGCCTGGTCGGGCCGGGGGCCCACTTGCAGACAGCCGCCCTCCGCCGAGCCCCAGGCCGCGGGCTCCGCGCCCGCACACCCCGCGGTCCGAGACCCGCTCCCAACGGTGCACGCAGCGGCTCGGTAAGCCCACGTCCCGGGAGGCAGGCGCACAGCGCCCCACAGCCCCGCACTCGTCCACAGACCATGCCCCTCACACATTCTCACACCTACGCGCTCCGGCCCGCGCGCTCCTGCTCCCGGGCTCTGGGCGCGGGCGCGACGGCCAGGGCGCGGCCCCTCTGCTCACCGGCCCCTGCTTGTCCCGGCCAGGCGGACAGCGGCCGCCGGACCCGGCCTGGCGCGCCTCGGAGTCGGCCCGCGGAGGTCACGGGTGAGGGCAGGCCCTTCGCTCAGGCGGGGAGGAGGCCGGGCCGCCAGGCCTGAGCGGCGGCAGCCGGGCCGGCTTCTGAATCCGAGCCGAGGCCCAGGCTTCAAGGTGCCAGGGCTTGGCAGAGTCTCTGGGCGAAACTGCAGCGGTGAGGGCCAAGACTCCGCCAGCAGCCTCAAGATCCCAGAAAGCTGACGAGGAAGCCCAATCCCTGCCCCAGTCTAGGAAGCTG